GGAGGCGTACCCCCCAATAGTGAAGTTTTAATAGACATAAATTATTTTTCTCAATGTGTTTAAAAGCGCTGCCAAAAGAGTGAAGGGGTCCTTTTATAGATTTTCCAGGATAAGGTAAGGGATATACCAAACAGGCTTTGGAATCATGGTTGAAAAATTGAAAAACCCAGACTGCTTAAAAAAATTATAAAAGGGGTTTTTGTGTAATTTAATATCTGAAAAAGAAAAAAAATAATGTTTAAATTAAAAAAAATGGCTAGATTTTTTTAATTACAAGGAGAGTTTTTTAAAAATTGTGTTTCTGAAAAAAGCATTGCATGAAAAATAGAGTTAAACTTATAAACTAAATTTAATGCTGAGATACACAACAACAAAAATTTTCAATGTGTTTTCTAAAAAGAGCAAATTTTATAAAAAACACTGTTTAATTTATAGAAAAAACTTTTATGTGTAAAAATATTATAAAAAAAAATTTGAACCCGAAAACATCAATTTAAATAACTGAAAAAGCCCATTTTCAAATAAAATCACATTTTCCTGTTAATTGTTAGTTTTCTTTTTTAAAAAAGGAAATAGTAATATTTACTGATTCTACGATCAAACCCTTTTCTGAAAAAAAATATAAAGTGTGGGGCATATGAGTAGGTATTGGTGTTTTTGAATCCATGGGGTGAATCTTGGCCCCTTTGAGGTTGGAAGAGCTTGCCAATCATTTTTTTACCCAAAGTAACCATCTGAAACCCAACACCCCCAATTTTCAAAGCATAATTTTTCCCTAATTTAAATGCATTTCTTAAAATTATTTTCTATATAATTTATAAAAAAAAAGCTAGATTTAAAAAAATTTCTTAAAACCAGGGTGCAAAAATAAAATTTATCAATTTTTAACTGCTTTTTACAAAATTTAAATTTCATTTTTTAATTCTAAATTTATTTTTACAGTTTTAATTCAATAAAATGTGGTTAAATCTTTCATGCAAAAGCTCTGTAGCCTTCTCCCTGCTTACTGAACAGTAGCAGACATCTACATTTGAAGGGGAGATAACAACAACAACATATGTCCCAATTTAAAATGTCAATTTTAAAAATTTAAATAAAATTTAAAATTTTCAAACCTGTCAATAATCCTTTATTTTCCTGACTTCTATTCATAAACACAACACTGATGCAAAGTTTCATCCATATCCATCAACCAGTTCCCATTTTTGACATTTCTTATCTTGGACTCGGCCCGGTGAATTTTCGTACTATTAGTTCTATAGTAAATCAGTCAAATTTGAGGTTTAATTCTGGATTCCAATGTTCTTGATGAATTATATACTGTCTTCAACTTTAAACATTAACACTATCTAAGTCAAATGATGCCCAAAATATAATAGGTTAGCCATCTACTTTTTTCAGAAATCTTCATTCTGTTGTAACACTGTTTAAATTCACCACTTTAAAAACTCCTGACAGCTGGTGGGTAGTACATCTTTAATCCTTCCACCAACAAATGAGTTCCTGGAGAATACACAAAAAACAACTTTTAAAGTCATCATATAACACACAAAAACTACACACATGCAATAAATACACTTTAATTATGAACAATCTAACTAGAGATGACTTAAATTGGGCCATTTCATAATTTTAAAGAACTACTTTCTAGACTACAATGGGCTGGGTCTAATTCCGTACCGGGTTGAGACCATTTATATAAATGAATCCAAAATTTAAGTTAAGCCAAACTTTATACTCATTTCCTAGTAATTAAGTGTTATACAAATACAGTCATATAGGTTTGACATGTCTCTAACAAATTACATTAATGAGGTACAATTTCTTAAATATGAACCTTCATGCGAAAAGTCAGGCTCGGCCAATAGAATTTTACGCAAAAATTTATATTACAAATTCTGTCATATCTTTTGATTCTGTAAATGGATTTTCTTTGAATAAAGTTTAATGTTACCGGCTAATGTCATACAGTTACTTCTATGAAAGAATAAGACCTTATTGCTTAAAAATTGTAATAGAAAACTCAATTTCTTTAAATGAGAGCATGAAATTTTGGGTTAAAATACAAGTAATCACAATTAAATGTGCTTTTTTCAAATTTTTTTCCTTCAAAATTGTAATAAAACTTACTGATTATGATTTTTACCTATATTCCATGGTAAATAAAGTAAAGAACCAACATACACACCCTACATTGTTTGCTTAAGATATCAATAAAGACAAACAGAGGTAATCTTAAGGTTAGCAAAGAGGTTACCATATCACCATGGGCTATGTCTTCTGACAAAGTAAGATTAGCCAACTCTCACACAAATAAGGCTTTAAAAAGATGACACATACTTTCCCCCACTTTAAATCATTGAGAAGTCTCAATATAGTCAGAATTAGAGAAATTTTCTCCTGAAATACATCAAAATAACTACCAAATATCGCCCGAGCATTGGGAGGCGCTACCGCCAATAGCTGAAGTTTCAAACTAGACATAAGTTATTACCTTCTCAATGTGTCCTGACAAAGCTGCTGCCAAACAGAGCTGAAGGAGTCCTTCCATAGATCTTTACCAGGATAAGGTAAGGTCATATACTCAAACCCAGGCTTTGGCAACTGCATGGTCTGAAAAAATATGCAACACTAGTACATGCTTAAGAAAATTATAAGGGGCATTTATGCTGTAAATCTAATATCTGAAAAAGAAAGAAAATAATGTCTTAATTAATAAATGGCTAGATTTGCTAATTCACACAGGAGAGTTTATATAAATATTGTGTTCTGAAAAATGCATGCCTGCATGAAAATAGCAGTTTAGACATTATAAACCTAACCTAATTTAACTGCTGTAGCAGCTACAACAACAACATCAACAACAATTATATCAACTGTGTTATTCTAAATGAGCCAATTATCCATAAAATACACTGTTTAATGACTAGAAAATCTTTTATGTGTATATATTACTAGCAAATACATTCTGCAACACAGCAAAACATCAAGTTTCACTCCACTGAAAATGCCTATATTTCCAAAATATAAATCACATTTGTCCTGTTCAATTGTTAGTTCTTCTTCATTTAAATACAGGACAATAGTTAATATATACATACTGATTACTACAGCATCAATCCTTTGCTGAAACATCAAAACATATAATGTGTGGTCCATATGAGCAATAAGCTACTATGGTGCTTGTTCGAATCCCATGGCCGGTGAATCTTGGGCCCCTTAGAGATCTCTGGAATGAGCTTGCCAATCACTTTTTTTACCAATGTAACCAATCTGAAACCACACACTCCCCAATTCCTTCAATGCATAATTTATCCATAATTTAAGATGCATTTCTCTAAAAATTATCATTTTCTATATAAATCTTATAAAAAATAAGCTAGATTTATAGCATATTGCTTAACACAGGGTGCAAAAATAAAATTTATCAATTTATAAACTGCTTTTTACAAAATTTAAATTTCATTTTTTAATTCTAAATTTATTTTTACAGTTTTAATTCAATAAAATGTGGTTAATCTTTCATGCAAAAGCTCTGTAGCCTTCTCCCTGCTTACTGACACAGTAGCAGACATCTACATTTGAAGGGGAGATAACAACAACAACATATGTCCCAATTTAAAATGTCAAATTTTAAAATTTTAAATAAAATTTAAAATTTTCAAACCTGTCAATAATCCTTTATTTTCCTGACTTCTATTCATAAACACAACACTGATGCAAAGTTTTATCCATATCCATCAACCAGTTCCCATTTTTGACATTTCTTATCTTGGACTCGGCCCGGTGAATTTTCGTACTATTAGTTCTATAGTAAATCAGTCAAATTTGAGGTTTAATTCTGGATTCCAATGTTCTTGATGAATTATATACTGTCTTCAACTTTAAACATTAACACTATCTAAGTCAAATGATGCCCAAAATATAATAGGTTAGCCATCTACTTTTTTCAGAAATCTTCATTCTGTTGTAACACTGTTTAAATTCACCACTTTAAAAACTCCTGACAGCTGGTGGGTAGTACATCTTTAATCCTTCCACCAACAAATGAGTTCCTGGAGAATACACAAAAAAACAACTTTTAAAGTCATCATATAACACACAAAAACTACACACATGCAATAAATACACTTTAATTATGAACAATCTAACTAGAGATGACTTAAATTGGGCCATTTCATAATTTTAAAGAACTACTTTCTAGACTACAATGGGCTGGGTCTAATTCCGTACCGGGTTGAGACCTAAATGAATCCAAAATTTAAGTTAAGCCAAACTTTATACTCATTTCCTAGTAATTAAGTGTTATACAAATACAGTCATATAGGTTTGACATGTCTCTAACAAATTACATTAATGAGGTACAATTTCTTAAATATGAACCTTCATGCGAAAAGTCAGGCTCGGCCAATAGAATTTTACCGCAAAAATTTATATTACAAATTCTGTCATATCTTTTGATTCTGTAAATGGATTTTCTTTGAATAAAGTTTAATGTTACCGGCTAATGTCATACAGTTACTTCTATGAAAGAATAAGACCTTATTGCTTAAAAATTGTAATAGAAACTCAATTTCTTTAAATGAGAGCATGAAATTTTGGGTTAAAATACAAGTAATCACAATTAAATGTGCTTTTTTCAAATTTTTTTCCTTCAAAATTGTAATAAAACTTACTGATTATGATTTTTACCTATATTCCATGGTAAATAAAGTAAAGAACCAACATACACACCCTACATTGTTTGCTTAAGATATCAATAAAGACAAACAGAGGTAATCTTAAGGTTAGCAAAGAGGTTACCATATCACCATGGGCTATGTCTTCTGACAAAGTAAGATTAGCCAACTCTCACACAAATAAGGCTTTAAAAAGATGACACATACTGTCCCCCACTTTAAATCATTGAGAAGTCTCAATATAGTCAGAATTAGAGAAATTTTCTCCTGAAATACATCAAAATAACTACCAAATATCGCCCGAGCATTGGGAGGCGCTACCGCCAATAGCTGAAGTTTCAAACTAGACATAAGTTATTACCTTCTCAATGTGTCCTGACAAAGCTGCTGCCAAACAGAGCTGAAGGAGTCCTTCCATAGATCTTTACCAGGATAAGGTAAGGTCATATACTCAAACCCAGGCTTTGGCAACTGCATGGTCTGAAAAAATATGCAACACTACCCGTCTGTAGAATTTCCAGAGTTACTCTGGAAAAACTCTGGAAAATAACAGAATTTCCATGAATTTCCGTGAATTTTCATGGAAACCAGCTTTTTTCCACAGTAATTCCAGAGTACTCTGGAAAAATTTTCATGGAGAACTCTGGAACATGATTTTACCATCAAAAGAAATCTCCATGAAACACCTCCGGAAACTCTGGAAAGTCAACACTTAGAAATTTTTCAAGGAGTTGTACTCTGGAAAACACTTAGTCATTTTTGTGAATGTTCTGGACTTAGAAAATTTTCAGCTGATTTTGGACTTAGAAAATTTTCAACTAATTTCAGCATTTACTTCATTTTTTCTCCCCAGTGCAACAGTCTTCCAAAGATGTGTTATATACATCTGCAAAAACACCAAGGTTCAACATTATTAATACCACTTGTAAAACTATATGGGACTAAAGTACTAAAGATTTGTTCAGAAGATTATTAAAATCATGAATATATCTAATTTGAAGTGAATGTATAAACTTAGTATATAGTTTGGAAAGGTTGATTCCTAGTATTTGTTAATTTGATTTGGTTGATTCTTTTAACTGTCAGTTTTTTATTTACACTTATCTTACTGACTACAGTAATTATCAGGGTTTTTTTTTCTTCAAAAATCAAATTTGAGCATAATATATCTGTACCTATAAAATTTATACATTATCATAAGGAATAACGTTAGCCATGTAAATAATTCAATTATCAGTCATAATTTGTAGCAGGCATTTGAAAATATTGTGCCATGTACATAACAGGGGGTTATAAAAATATTTGATGAAGCATAGGCCCTATCATATGTACAATGGTCACATGATTATAACTCTTAATCCATGGTAATTAAGACCATATAATTATGTTCAATATAATTTAACTTGATATTAATGTAATGAGCAATTATTAAAAAATATATTTTTTAACTAATAACTATACCAAAGCTAACATTGTTATCTAAATCCTTAACTTTTTACATTATCTTTATCTGAATCCATCGTTGTTCATTTCAGAGGCATATAATAAGGTATATAGTGTCTCTGTTAATTTGTATACAATTTTATCTCCATAATGTCATCACACTTTCCAGAACCTGTTTTGTTTGAATGTCCGGAAAGAAATAAAATAATCTTTTCTACAATAATAAACATTATGAGGCAGGATCCCGTAAATCTTTGATTGTAAGCTGGTAAACTACACAGAACGACCTGCCACATGTGATGCCAAGCTACTACAGGTGTGGTTTGAAATTGACCAATCAAAATAATGAACAGTATTGGCGGTCATTTGAACTCACAGTTAATGCTGATAAGCGTTTGGCTGTTTGTTGTGGCATGATGGAGAATTCACTTGCATTAGGAATTTGGATAAATGACAAAAAAAACTTGGAACAATCTTGAAATTAGATGACATAAAAGTGCCTAGAAAGAGCACTGACATGTACAAAGAAGGAGACATAGTGGAAACTAAGTGTTGGGGATTTAAAGGGTTGCACAAGTGCTTGTTGGCAAAAATTGGAGGTAAGATCGCCATTTTGATACTCTCCATTTTTTTTAAAAAATAGATCTAGCCTGTTGTATTTAAAATTTTGTGTTGCCAAGGTTGAATATACAGTAGTGTCCTTTCACATAAAATTTTCTTTCATTATATTTAAAAATTCTTGCTGAACATGAATTTAATTTTTAGATGACTTACTGATCTGTGTTATAATTTAACTAAAGTATTCATTCACATAACCATTGATTTTGCTGGGAAAAAATTGACAAGAACAATTGATATGACCATGAAAAATATCAATTACCACTTTGGAAAAACATAAACAAAATGGGCATTGGTAAATTCCATCTACAATTATCCATGCAGTGTACAGTTATGTCATTTAGGTCACACACATGTTTACCCTACTTTCAAACGTGGGAAAATAATGATAAAGGAGTGCCTAATGAATGATTTAATCTTTTTTGATCTTGCTCATGCTGACATAATCTACATGTATTAATTGGGAAGTGCCTTTAATCAGCACTATCAAAACAAGGCAATACAATTGTACAATACACAGTAGGATGCCCACTATTGTAGCAATCATAGAGCAACAAAATACAAATATTGTGTAATGCACCATAAATCTGCATTTAGATAAATGTTACTTGTACTTGGTTTGCTGTGAAAAGGTGATTTTATATATAACAACATATGGATTATTGTACAGTTCAGCCACTTTTTTATGATTCCTAAATAACACTGAATGTGATTTACTATAACCACCAGTATGAAGATAAGCCTGCCTGCACTTCCTTAAAGTTCTTTGCCATTGGCATGACCAGGCTTTTTTTTTTACCTTTATAATTCCTAAAATTGACAGTGAACATAGAAACTGTATAGAAATTTTGCATAGTAAGAGTTAAATACAAAATTAACTAGGCCATAGGTAGGAAATCATGAAGTCACATCATAATTATCAATTAAAGATAAAGAGATCTAATATGCTTATAGCAGAATGAACCCACTGTAATCAGATGTGAAGTGACCACAATATTTTCTTTAGTTTTCAAAGTAAATGTTTGTAATTCACTCATTTGAAACCAATATCCTCAATCAAGACTAATTTCATGATTTCTGCCCCATTCCCCTCAATAATTGAGATATTTTTATTTGTATTTTTTAATATAGGGAAAAAAATGCTTTCTTCAAAATAATGCAAAATTCCCCTACCCAAGGGCTCAGTCCCCTTTAAGGTAATTAAGGCCCTGCTTAATGTAATGATGCTATCAAGTTGAGCCTATAATGTATATTTCTATATTTTGGTTGTAGGAGAAACAGACCGCAGTAATTTAGAGGATAATAAGAGGGGATGCATTTAACGAGTTAAAAGAAAAATTTAACATCAAAGACGAGGAAGAAACCATTGATGACTTGGGCCATTTGAAAAGGAGAAAATCTGATTTACCGGTAAAATACTTCAACATTATTTAACATTATTATCAGAAATAACACTTGTTTAACCTTACAATCAAATCATAATTATAATTTCTTGTACCTGTCAGCATTTCATGTAATTGCATGGTATTTAGTCAAAACAAATTTATATAGCAACAGCAATGTTACAGAAGCACACCTCCAGATTCATACTAATTTTCATGAAAATTTGAAAATGTATTTAACAGTATAATGTGAAGTTACCAAAAGAATGCAATTTACACATTACCAGTTGCACTTACATTACCCATGTACCGTACATTACCATAAAGAGGTCATTAATATACAAAAATAGCCATTACTGCGGTAGTAATACAGTAGAAATAAAGTTATAAATACTTTAAAAATGGGTCATTAATGCACATAACATGTAAATTATTACTAGAATTTTGAATATATATTATACACTATCTAAAATCTTAGTACATAGTACTCAGGTTTGATTTTATCAAAATATTGTTGCTCATCTGGAGGCATGCAGCTTTAAAAAAAAAATTGCCAAAATGAAAAAATATGCAGGATTTATTTCCCTTTGTCTAAAAATGTAGCAGTATAGAAGAAAAAAATAGCTAAACATCCAAAGGCCAACATGATCAAATATTGTGTACTCACAAACCTTAGCACTTCTTATATTATTACATTCTGTAAATACAAAAACAAATTATTGTTTCTTGTGAGTTAATTATGTAAATAAAAGTGCCTTTTAAAATTAAAACATGAGAAAATGAATTTCAAGAAATGTTTAGTTAGGGTGATTTGCCACTTATCCCTTTATAACCATTCTGTGTAGTTTTCATTATTTTTTGTCAAAAATGTTTCAGAATCAGCTTTTAGCAAAAATTGAAGGGGTTACTGATTATTCCAAGGCCACAAAAACGCTATTTAGGACCCTTTACAAGGAAGAGGAGTATCACGGCCGGTCCTTGTGTGGCGGAAAGCCGAATAAGAGGTACCTGGCAAGGCCACCACTTGAAGACCAAACAAAACTGCACATAATATATGGTTGGTAAATTTTTTACATGCCAGACATGCATATTTGATAATATTTTAAATACTTTGACTGACAGTTGTGAGTTATATTTCAATAAATTTTGATACATTAATGAACTTCAATCATTCTTATGGTAAAATATTCTAACTGTTTGCCAAATTATAAAAATAGCATTGTGATATGTTATAAGACTTTAACAATGAATTTAAATTTATGGCATCTTAAGCAATGGTCCAAATATGGCTCTTAATTGAAAACACAAGTAGATTTTAAGTAGATTTTCTCCTCCTTTTTTATATCAAGCTATTGCTGTCATTACTTTTCTTCCTATGGGCATTGCTAGCTCTTTGATGTGACATATTTGCAATGCTGAATCTATGTGAATTAGACAAAAGCTTTCTTAAGCTGCAACCCAATGTAATTATGAATTTATTCAGCTTTTTTTTTCCAAACAAATACATTGATGTTTGCAAAAAATACTTTCAACCTAATAATTATATCATATGTATTATTTGTTTTTTTTTTTAGATATTATTCATGAAAAGTATGGCCAAGGACCATCAAATATCAAAGAAAAGTTAAGGGAGATATTAAAACCAACACTAAACAAATGAAGAGACTTGATATGATGTGTTTGTGTCCATAAATATTAAAGATGTTCAAAGAATTTTTATAGTTATCTTTTTGTTTATGAAATGTTAAAAAGTCAGATTACAGAAGTTAAGGTTCAAATGTATGATTGAATGAGAATGCATCTTGAAATAAAAGATAGTTATATCATTAGGTCAGTTTTATTTTTTTTTGCATAAAACTCTTAATAAACTCAACTGTATGAAAGATTAAGTCACTAATGTATTATGCTACTGGCACAGAATGATTTGCTCCTGTCTGTCCGACTGTCCATCTGAGACCTGGAATTGGTGTTTTTTTAGAGAAATTATTTTAGTTGACTGTGTAGGAAGGTATTAGCTTATAAAGACACTTTCAAATCGGTTGCTGGAACCAACCATTAGTGAGCAATGAGTGTAAAGTTTCTTGCTCAATGAAACAACTTGTCCCTGACAAGGTTTGAACCAATGCAGCTTGCTATCATTAAATTACTAGTCCGATATATTAACCGCTCAGCCATGCCGCCACTACTACTCCCTCTTTCTACAGTATTCCTAACTGCGGAACTTTTTTCAAGAGTGGCTCTGGAAATTTTTTCCATAGTAACTCTGGAACTTATTTTTAACTGCGGAACTTTTTTCCAGAGTGACTCTGGAAATTTTTTCCAGAGTGACTGCGGAACCTTTTTTAACTGCGGAACTTTTTTCCAGAGTGGCTCTGGAAATTTTTTCCAGAGTAACTGTGGAAATTTTTTCCAGAGTACTATAACATATAAGGAAAACAATTTCCAGAGTTTCTTTGATAACTCCGGAACATTTTCACGGAAAACTCCGGAAACATTTCATGAAAAAAGCTCTGGAAATTCATGGAAGGTGTTCATGATTTTTTTTCAATTTTCCGTGAAAAACTCCGGAAAACTAGTCCGAATTATCCAGAGTTGGAGATTTCCATGAATTTCCGGTATTTTTTCATGGAAATTCATGGAAAATGTACGGACGGGTAGTACATGCTTAAGAAAATTATAAGGGGCATTTATGCTGTAAATCTAATATCTGAAAAAGAAAGAAAATAATGTCTTAATTAATAAATGGCTAGATTTGCTAATTCACACAGGAGAGTTTATATAAATATTGTGTTCTGAAAAATGCATGCCTGCATGAAAATAGCAGTTTAGACATTATAAACCTAACCTAATTTAACTGCTGTAGCAGCTACAACAACAACATCAACAACAATTATATCAACTGTGTTATTCTAAATGAGCCAATTATCCATAAAATACACTGTTTAATGACTAGAAAATCTTTTATGTGTATATATTACTAGCAAATACATTCTGCAACACAGCAAAACATCAAGTTTCACTCCACTGAAAATGCCTATATTTCCAAAATATAAATCACATTTGTCCTGTTCAATTGTTAGTTCTTCTTCATTTAAATACAGGACAATAGTTAATATATACATACTGATTACTACAGCATCAATCCTTTGCTGAAACATCAAAACATATAATGTGTGGTCCATATGAGCAATAAGCTACTATGGTGCTTGTTCGAATCCCATGGCCGGTGAATCTTGGGCCCCTTAGAGATCTCTGGAATGAGCTTGCCAATCACTTTTTTTACCAATGTAACCAATCTGAAACCACACACTCCCCAATTCCTTCAATGCATAATTTATCCATAATTTAAGATGCATTTCTCTAAAAATGATCATTTTCTATATAAATCTTATAAAAAATAAGCTAGATTTATAGCATATTGCTTAACACAGGGTGCAAAAATAAAATTTATCAATTTATAAACTGCTTTTTACAAAATTTAAATTTCATTTTTTAATTCTAAATTTATTTTTACAGTTTTAATTCAATAAAATGTGGTTAATCTTTCATGCAAAAGCTCTGTAGCCTTCTCCCTGCTTACTGACACAGTAGCAGACATCTACATTTGAAGGGGAGATAACAACAACAACATATGTCCCAATTTAAAATGTCAAATTTTAAAATTTTAAATAAAATTTAAATTTTTCAAACCTGTCAGTAATCCTTTATTTTCCTGACTTCTATTCATAAACACAACACTGATGCAAAGTTTCATCCATATCCATCAACCAGTTCCCATTTTTGACATTTCTTATCTTGGACTCGGCCCGGTGAATTTTCGTACTATTAGTTCTATAGTAAATCAGTCAAATTTGAGGTTTAATTCTGGATTCCAATGTTCTTGATGAATTATATACTGTCTTCAACTTTAAACATTAACACTATCTAAGTCAAATGATGCCCAAAATATAATAGGTTAGCCATCTACTTTTTTCAGAAATCTTCATTCTGTTGTAACACTGTTTAAATTCACCACTTTAAAAACTCCTGACAGCTGGTGGGTAGTACATCTTTAATCCTTCCACCAACAAATGAGTTCCTGGAGAATACACAAAAAACAACTTTTAAAGTCATCATATAACACACAAAAACTACACACATGCAATAAATACACTTTAATTATGAACAATCTAACTAGAGATGACTTAAATTGGGCCATTTCATAATTTTAAAGAACTACTTTCTAGACTACAATGGGCTGGGTCTAATTCCGTACCGGGTTGAGACCTAAATGAATCCAAAATTTAAGTTAAGCCAAACTTTATACTCATTTCCTAGTAATTAAGTGTTATACAAATACAGTCATATAGGTTTGACATGTCTCTAACAAATTACATTAATGAGGTACAATTTCTTAAATATGAACCTTCATGCGAAAAGTCAGGCTCGGCCAATAGAATTTTACCCAAAAATTTATATTACAAATTCTGTCATATCTTTTGATTCTGTAAATGGATTTTCTTTGAATAAAGTTTAATGTTACCGGCTAATGTCATACAGTTACTTCTATGAAAGAATAAGACCTTATTGCTTAAAAATTGTAATAGAAACTCAATTTCTTTAAATGAGAGCATGAAATTTTGGGTTAAAATACAAGTAATCACAATTAAATGTGCTTTTTTCAAATTTTTTTCCTTCAAAATTGTAATAAAACTTACTGATTATGATTTTTACCTATATTCCATGGTAAATAAAGTAAAGAACCAACATACACACCCTACATTGTTTGCTTAAGATATCAATAAAGACAAACAGAGGTAATCTTAAGGTTAGCAAAGAGGTTACCATATCACCATGGGCTATGTCTTCTGACAAAGTAAGATTAGCCAACTCTCACACAAATAAGGCTTTAAAAAGATGACACATACTGTCCCCCACTTTAAATCATTGAGAAGTCTCAATATAGTCAGAATTAGAGAAATTTTCTCCTGAAATACATCAAAATAACTACCAAATATCGCCCGAGCATTGGGAGGCGCTACCGCCAATAGCTGAAGTTTCAAACTAGACATAAGTTATTACCTTCTCAATGTGTCCTGACAAAGCTGCTGCCAAACAGAGCTGAAGGAGTCCTTCCATAGATCTTTACCAGGATAAGGTAAGGTCATATACTCAAACCCAGGCTTTGGCAACTGCATGGTCTGAAAAAATATGCAACACTAGTACATGCTTAAGAAAATTATAAGGGGCATTTATGCTGTAAATCTAATATCTGAAAAAGAAAGAAAATAATGTCTTAATTAATAAATGGCTAGATTTGCTAATTCACACAGGAGAGTTTATATAAATATTGTGTTCTGAAAAATGCATGCCTGCATGAAAATAGCAGTTTAGACATTATAAACCTAACCTAATTTAACTGCTGTAGCAGCTACAACAACAACATCAACAACAATTATATCAACTGTGTTATTCTAAATGAGCCAATTATCCATAAAATACACTGTTTAATGACTAGAAAATCTTTTATGTGTATATATTACTAGCAAATACATTCTGCAACACAGCAAAACATCAAGTTTCACTACACTGAAAATGCCTATATTTCCAAAATATAAATCACATTTGTCCTGTTCAATTGTTAGTTCTTCTTCATTTAAATACAGGACAATAGTTAATATATACATACTGATTACTACAGCATCAATCCTTTGCTGAAACATCAAAACATATAATGTGTGGTCCATATGAGCAATAAGCTACTATGGTGCTTGTTCGAATCCCATGGCCGGTGAATCTTGGGCCCCTTAGAGATCTCTGGAATGAGCTTGCCAATCACTTTTTTTACCAATGTAACCAATCTGAAACCACACACTCCCCAATTCCTTCAATGCATAATTTATCCATAATTTAAGATGCATTTCTCTAAAAATGATCATTTTCTATATAAATCTTATAAAAAATAAGCTAGATTTATAGCATATTGCTTAACACAGGGTGCAAAAATAAAATTTATCAATTTATAAACTGCTTTTTACAAAATTTAAATTTCATTTTTTAATTCTAAATTTATTTTTACAGTTTTAATTCAATAAAATGTGGTTAATCTTTCATGCAAAAGCTCTGTCCCCTTCTCCCTGCTTACTGACACAGTAGCAGACATCTACATTTGAAGGGGAGATAACAACAACAACATATGTCCCAATTTAAAATGTCAAATTTTAAAATTTTAAATAAAATTTAAAATTTTCAAACCTGTCAATAATCCTTTATTTTCCTGACTTCTATTCATAAACACAACACTGATGCAAAGTTTCATCCATATCCATCAACCAGTTCCCATTTTTGACATTTCTTATCTTGGACTCGGCCCGGTGAATTTTCGTACTATTAGTTCTATAGTAAATCAGTCAAATTTGAGGTTTAATTCTGGATTCCAATGTTCTTGATGAATTATATACTGTCTTCAACTTTAAACATTAACACTATCTAAGTCAAATGATGCCCAAAATATAATAGGTTAGCCATCTACTTTTTTCAGAAATCTTCATTCTGTTGTAACACTGTTTAAATTCACCACTTTAAAAACTCCTGACAGCTGGTGGGTAGTACATCTTTAATCCTTCCACCAACAAATGAGTTCCTGGAGAATACACAAAAAACAACTTTTAAAGTCATCATATAACACACAAAAACTACACACATGCAATAAATACACTTTAATTATGAACAATCTAACTAGAGATGACTTAAATTGGGCCATTTCATAATTTTAAAGAACTACTTTCTAGACTACAATGGGCTGGGTCTAATTCCGTACCGGGTTGAGACCTTAGTGGTGAAAAACCTTATAACGAAACGGCATGTACGGATTTTAATATGTTCCAAAAGCGCGGGAAAATTTGATAGCTCAATAATAATGGTAAATTGCAAATACTGATATATTAGATCAGTATTTATATTTTTGTTAGATATGACTGCATCCTCTCTATGAGTAGGAAATATGATAGTCAAAAATTAGTAATAATGAATTTAGGTTCGAAGATGAAACTTATAGAAACAAAATATCGGAACTGTAGTAGTCCTCGGACAGTTGTGAATCAAAAATGCAGCATAGTAGATTGAATAATTTTGGCATCAACCTGTTCAGTCGATTTGTCAATATAGGAGTGATGTATTTGCCCAAAGAAATATATTTATTTTATATAATTTAAGAAATTAAAAAGGGCTTTGTTTAAACTATTTATACTACTGGAATAAATGGTCTTCAGTGTGCACATAATTTTTGATAAGTGCAGGAGAAGCAATCACCATCAACCTTTTCAGACTGTCTCTCTCTATATATATTTTATGTATATTGATTCATAAGATATTCTGAGCATTGTACATGTATACTCCTGTAAGACTTATTGTACTCGCAGACACTTTGGTTGTGGAGCTCCAAATGCAAAAATGCAATTGATTTGGATTTTAAAGACATTTTGAGCTCCACACCCCAAGTGTCTGTGATTGTACTATGAATTGACACATTTTCATCATCTCACTGATTTCTGTTGAGAAAATCTGTATCAACCTTTTCAGCAGTTTTCAGTAAGTAACATCACTTTGACAGGCAAAGTAGAGAATTGAAAATACATGTATGTATTTTAAGTCATTTAAATGTAAAAGTAATGCTCACGTTAGACTGTTTAAATAAGATATACGGAATTTTCTTACATAACTTAATCATTAATCTGATTCTTTGGTGAAATATCCGCATCAACCTAGTCTTTGTATGTAAATTATGTATTTCAATAATGTTGTGTCGTGTCACACACATATTTTTCTAGAAGTTTTGCAATGATTGCACATGACAGTTTTTTTAGTTCACAAATTTTAGAGCATGATATTATTGATATTGATGTTTTGCATGTTATAAAGAAGGAAGTACAGTAACTGTATCTTATTTGCTATGTTTCTTTGCAGTCTAAACGTAAAGGTCTAAGTGTTGAAGAGAAGAGGCATAGAATGATGGAGTTCTTCTTTGAGAAGGTCAATATAATTTTACAGATTTAAGTACATGTATATGTTGCAGAATTCTGTAATGCGACGGTGCTAGAGGACAATAAACCTGTAGAAGTTTCGTGTATCTAATTTCTCCTCTTGTAACCTGAGAACTCCCTTCGATACTAAATGTTTAACAGTAACATTTCACTTTAATTAATTAAAACCAAAACAAAAATAAACTAACAAGAATAAAAATAATAATAAGTAATTCAGGGTCGGCAAAATCTGATTTTGACCTACCTGTCGATTTTATTTGAAGCATTCTTTACTTGTCTGTATGATATTCCCGAAGTAAATCCTGGAAAAATTACACTAGTCTGACAGTACAGCCTGCAGGACAATCTATCTAGTATTGACCATTGATTTTGCCATCCCTGCTCATTTTTGCATATTGTGGTGTTAATGTTTAAACCCAATCAAAAAATAAATAGAATTGAACAGAAATTCAAAGGGAGCATTCATCTGGATAATTTAGTGTTTGAACTCTGCTCGGGTCGTGATAATGTTTCTTTTACATGTATATGACATATAACCTGCACTGGTTGAGTCCGTTTCCTGCACTGGTTAGTTACATAAAGTGAGCTTAAAGTTGCTCAAACCATTGAGCTTTTAATAAATGTTTTAACAAACTTAATATGTGTTATCTGTAAAATTTAAAATTCTATTTTATATTGCTTATATATCTCTTTCTTCTTTCAGAAAGATTTCTTCCAGCTGAAGGAGTTGGAACGACAGTGTCAGAAAGAGAAAGGGATTACGTCCATGTCAGTGAAGGAGATTCTCACTAGTCTTGTTGATGACGGTATGGTAGATACAGACAAGATTGGTACTTCTGTTTACTTTTGGGCATTCCCCAGCAAAGCTAGCCAAAACGTCAGTACAAACTTTTCTCATCCAGAATTTAATTTTTAATTTTGAAATGTTGTTGAAGTGGAGGTAAATGGTTGAAACAGAAAAACCAAAGCTCTAAAGAAAGCCAAAAACGGCAGTATCAAAAATGTTGCAGGCTGGCTTAGATTGAGCCTGAAGACTGAAATTTCGATTTTAGGGTACTAAGAATATACTTTTTGACATACTTTGCCTTATTGTAAATGGATCTTGGTAAAATGTTAAAGAATCATTTCTTTATCGTCAGGGACTTCCAATTCTTTCATGTCTAAAAGCTATTTAGCATGTTTACAGAATGCCAGTGGTTCTACTTGTGTGCCCACTTGTGCCTGAAATAATGAGGGAAGAGGGAAACCCACATAATGAGGGAAGAGGGAAACCCATGGTTTTCCTCCACCAGTAAAGCTTGAAAGTCACTATATCACCATTACAGAGTCAGTGTGTCTTAAAACCAATCAGGAAAAAAAAAGTTTTTTAATTTATTTATTGATTTTGTTGTTGGAATTACAAGGATATTTTTATAAATGTTATAATTATTATTTTAAGATATTATGTTTCATTTTTAGCGAAAAAGGAAAATTGATGACTTGGAAGCTAGACTGGCAGATGCAGAAAGTAAAAAACTTAACTTAATGGATGCTGTAGAAAAGGCTAAAGTGGGTAAAGAAGAATCTGTAAGTTACCATGGTTTGAAACATAGTGTGTAGAAGACTCAATATTTTTTCAGTAATATACATTTTTTAGCGTATCAAAGCAAACTTTAGCCAGCTGATTATCCCTAAAGGGAGACTTCTAGGTCAGCCTCAAGAGTAGAATGCTGGGAAGTGATTTTTATTTATTTCTGCAAAGCCTTGGTGGAATTCAATATAAGATAAATCTTATGCAACCTCTGTTGGTATAATGTGCCTATAACATGACTGAAAGACTGTTTAATCCAAACGAAACAAAACAACTCATAGTCTTATCCTATGAAAACCTTTGTTCACAAAATAACCCCCTATACCCGTGTCAAGATTGTTCAGATATAAGCAAAAAATAGGAAGAAAAAATAATTCTCGTAAACTAATGGACGACTCATCACCATGTCAGGTATCATAGAGCAGTCATAGATTTAACAGATATGCTTGTTCTTAGATATACTCTAGATACCTTGTTTTGCCTGGGTTGCTTCACCTTATATAGTACAGGCCTACAAAAGGCCAAAAACAATTATTTTTCCCAAAAGTCTAAGTCTAAGTTTTTTTTACTTTCCCAAGTCAGCAACTTTAGCGGTACATTGTAATTCTTTCCAATAGCAAGATGCGAAATCCTCTTCCCAATTTGGACAGAGAAAAAAAAAACCTGTTTGCTGTAAGGAATATAGATAGATATCTTCCTTTACTTGTAGGATAAAAGGTGTCATCTTTCTTTACTTGTAGGATAATAGGTGATGTTATCTTTCTTTACTTGTAGGATAATAGGTGTTGTTACCATTCTTTACTTGTAGGATAATAGGTGTTGTCATCTTTCTTTACTTGTAGGATAATAGATGTTGTTATCTTTCTGTACTTGTTGGATAATAGGTGTTGTTATCTTTCTTTACTTGTAGGATAATATGTGTTGTTATCTTTCTTTACTTGTAGAATAATAGGTGTTATTTTTCTTTACTTGTAGGATAATAGATGTTGTCATCTTTCTGTATTTGTAGGATAATAGGTGTTGGTATCTTTCTTTTCTTGTAGGTTTATATGTGTTGATATCTTTCTTTACTTGTAGGTTTAAATGTGTTGTTATTTTTCTTTACTTGTAGGTTTATATGTGTTGTTATCTTTCTTTACATGTAGGATTATAGGTGTTGTTATCTTTCTTTACTTGTAGGTTTATATGTGTTGTTATCTTTCTTTACTTGTAAGTTTATATGTGTTGTTATCTTTCTTTACTTGTAGGTTTATATGTGTTGTTATCTCTCTTTACTTGTAGGTTTATATGTGTTGTTATCTTTCTTTACTTGTAGGTTTATATGTTTTGTTATCTTTCTTTACTTGTATTTTATATGTGTTGTTATCTTTCTTTACTTGTAGGTTTATATGTGTTGTTATCTATCTTTGATTGTAGGTTTATATGTGTTGTTATCTTTCTATCTTTCTTTGATTGTAGGATGATAGAGATGAGATTCTGTCGAGACTGAGTGAGATGCAAGGGGAGAAAACTCAGATGGAAGCAGAACTTGAGAGATACCGGGAGTGTGACCCTGATGTCATTGAAGAACTGAAACAAGAGACAAAAATAGCCAAAGAGGCTAGTAATAGATGGACAGGTAATTAGTCCTTTACCTTTGGTGTCACTGTTACCTTGACCTTTGATTTATTGACCTCATTTTGACGTCATCTTCTAGGCATGGTAAAAGTCTGTACAAAGTTGCATAATCCACTCACTATTTTTAGCTCACCTGTCACAAAGTGACAGGGTGAGCTTTTGTGATCGCTTTTCGTCCGGCGTCCGGCCGTCCGTAAACTTTTACTTTAAATGACATCTCCTCATAAACCACTAAGCCAATTTCATCCAAACTTCACAGGAATGTTCCTTAGCTAGAGCTAAGATATTTAGCATGAAACATCTTCTAATGAGTGTCTACCAAGTTTGTTCAAATAAAAGCCCTGGGGTCAAAATTGGCCCCGCCCCAGGGGGTTATTGATTTTCCCTATATGCATATAGTAAAAACTTAAAAAATCTTCTTTTAAAGAACTCAAAGAGCTAGAGCTAAGATATTTAGCACGAAACATGTTCTAATGGGTGTCTACCAAGTTGTTCAAATAAACTCCCTGGGGTCAAAATTGGCCCCGTCCCGGGGGTCATTGATTTTCCTTATATGTATAGCAAAAACTTAAAAATCTTCTTTGAAAAAATCCAAATAGTTAGAGTTTAGATATTAAGCATGAAGCATCTTCTAGTAAGTGTCTACAAAGTTTGTTCAAATAAAAGCCCTGGGGTCAAAACTGGCCCCGCCCCTGGGGTGTCAATGTTTTTAACTATATTTGTATAGTAAAAACATCAAAATCTTCTTTTAAAAAACCCAGTGAGCTAGAGCTTAGATATTTAGCATGTAACATCTTCTTATGGTTGTCTACCAAGTTTGTTCAAATAAAAGCCCTTGGGTTAAAATTGGCCCTGACCTGGGGGGGGGGGCTGGTCATTGTTTTACATTATAACATTATATGTGTGTAGTAAAAACTAAACATCATGAAACATCTTCTAATGGGTGTCTTCTAAGTTTGTTCAAATAAAAGCCCTGGGGTTTAAACTGGCCCCGCTCCGGGGCCTATATATATTCAACACCTGATTGATATTGGGGTAATAAGCTCAATGTTACGGTGACACATACACTGGAGCTCCGTTATAGCGCTCATGTTTGGGTCCATGATCTCAAGACAGCGTTGTAACGAGTAACTTTTTACAACGCTTATTTTGTAATTATAGCAAAAATATCACATTACCCCACCCACCGCCGCAACATATAACGCTTGTTAGTGGAAATGATTGTTTACTTACCTATCAATGGATATCAGTCCAAGCTTTTTTATAAAATTATTATTTATTGTTTTGTAAAGCATTACTGAATATCTTTAATATATATATATGAAATTTACGAATTTAAAATATAAACCACAAATGTATAATTGTTTATAAATTTCCAGTAAAACAACAGTGTTAACGTGAGTTATGTGTGGTCATGAAAATTGATACCTAGTGAATGGGACTAAATTAATTGTCTTTCCTGCTGTCTCTTGTGAAAAAATCAGTCATCTTCAACAACTTTTTTGCTGATAGATCGAAAGTGCATGCTTTTTAAAATTAATTGTACGTTTGTGTGATTTACTCAACTCTTCGGTGTTTGCATGTCTTAGCCCTGACTGATCAACAGTTCAAAATGAACAAAATTGCACTCGACTGACACATTGAACAAGCATTATAGTGGATAAGGTGCGGTATTGACATACATGAAAAAAAAATATAATCTGCGAAAAATACGATTTTTTTGGGGGGGGGAGCCAAGGCATATGAGCGTTCTACTGAGATTAGCGCTATATCGAAGAGCGCTATATCGCAGCTCCAGTGTATTTCAATATTTGTTTTCTTAGGTTTCTGTGAAAACAAGAATGTAATTGAAACATAAACAAATTAATTAAACCAGAGTTTGATTACAACAACAAAGATTTAAAAAATCTTGAAATATTCTCAAAGATTTCAATATATTAAATTACAATTGACATTTTCAAATACAACCAGATTTCTTGACATTGATTTCTTCATTTATGAAAAGATCTAAAGGTTAAATTACAAAATAGTGAATTCATTGCATTTCAAGGACTAATCACCAAAGTGGATTGTTGACGCTATCATTCTTATAAATGATTAACCGTGATGATCTTCATTTTATTAAATGACTGGTTTGACAAGAAAAGGAATGATAGATGGAAAGTGGTTATACATTTTAAAAGTCCTAAGAAATCTTCAGAGTAACCAAGTTCTGGAAGAATAATAGAGTACTTGAGTACTAAAATTGGTACACATTGCCATCCATACTTAAAACATTACAAACAACAACTTTTGTGTAATGTGATTATTATGTGATTATATATTAACTTTAGTTGCGTTGTGCTATTTTAAATAAAATTTGTCTCTTTGTTTATATTTTCAGACAATATATTCTCTACAAAGTCATGGATAAAGAACAAGTTTTGTTTTGAAGAGTCCGTAATAAACAAACAGTTTGAAATACCAGAAGATTTGGATTACCTGGAATGACATTTTATATTTCTTACATTGTTTATTTTATTTGTTCATGTTATGTTCATGTAAAAAAATGTTCATGAAATCACTTTATTTTACAATAAATTTGTTACATTTCTTAAAACTTTACGAAGATTGTAATTTGATTTTTGTTATTATCTTGAAAAACCTTTACTTAGATCTAAGAGACTGTTAAGGCTCATTATGCTTCAAAATCATATAAATTTCCCCTTAATATCGAGTTTAATGTTTCAATAATGACTGCCAATTACCTGAAGGTAGTAGCACTGAATGTGAAATAACTCATCATAAAAGAAGCAAAATATAAACAAAGTAGTATTTTGACTTCAATACAAAATTCTAAATCACTATAACTGTACTTATTGCCAAAAAGTAACAGAAACAACAAATGGTTCAGGTAATTGGCAAAGGAGACTAAAACAAGGCACAAACAATAAAAAGCTTTCAAGAAATTGAAAAAGAACAACTAAGCTTTTTCTTGGTTGTAATGCATCATGGGCTTTTAAAACTCTAGAAAGTTAAAATGTTGTTGATAAGGAAGATTAAACTTCTCAGATTAAAACCACACTGTAAAAAAATACCATCATATGACCACACAATCAGTTACCTTATTTTGCCTATTTTATACTAAAGGTAGGGCTTCTCCTACTTCTTTTACATACTTCACACATTTGTTATTTTCCTTTAACATTTTATAAAGGAGGATATACATGTATATGTATACAGTGTACATGTATGTATCCTTACCTACTGTGCATAAGAGCTTATAGACCATAAATAAAATGACAGTAGAAAAACCAAGCACTTGTGAGAAATTATAAGTTGAACTAGTAGTGATATTAAATTCGTAGTGTTTAAATGCATTTCAAATTATGGTTCATTTTTATGCTGCATATAGTTGCTGCTTTGTCTGTCTGTCTGTCCGCTATTCTTGTACAGGACATAACTTTGAAACAACAAGAAGTATCAACATGAAACTTTCTAGGTAGATAGATCTTATTGAGTAGATGTGCAATGTACATGAACCGTTACTCTGCCTTGCCTAATTTTGGAATTATTGCCCTTTGTTTATTTTTAGCTCACCTGTCCCAAATTGACAGGGTGAGCTTTTGTGATCGCTTTTTGTCCGTCAGCCGTCCGTCGTCCGTAAACTTTTACTTTAAATGACATCTCCTCATAAACCACTAAGCCAATTTCATCCAAACTTCACAGGAATGTTCCTTTGGTGGTCACCTTTACAAATTGTTCAAAGAATTTGATTCCATGCAGAACTCTGGTTGCCATGGCAACCAATAGAAAAAACTTAAAATATCTTCTTTTAAAAAACCCAAAAAGGTAGAACTTAGATATTTGGCATGAAACATCTTCTAGTGAGTGTCTATCAAGTTTGTTCAAATAAAAGCCCTGGGGTCAAAATTGGCCCCGCCCCGGGGGTCATTGATTTTCCCTTTATGCATATAGTAAAAACTTAAAAAATCTTCTTTTAAAAAACCCAAAGAGTTAGAGCTAAGATATTTAGCATGAAACATCTTCTATTGGGTGTCTACCAAGTTTGTTCAAATAAAAGCCCTTGGGTCAAAATTGGCCCCGCCCAAGGGCGTCATTAATTTTCCATATATGCATATAGTAAAAACTTAAAAAAGTCTTCTTTTAAAGAACCCAAAGAGCTAGAGCTAAGATATTTAGCATGAAACATGTTCTAATGGGTGTCTACCAAATTTGTTTAATAAAGTGCAGAAAGAAAAAAACGATTAGAAAAACTAGAAAAAGATTTAGAAAAAAATATTCAAGCATTAGAAAAACAAATATCCGAAAATCTCAATTCTTCGAGTGAGGAAACTTGGGCGGCACTAAATGAAAAGAAATCTCAGTTAGAAACGTTACGGAAATCAAAGTTAGAAGGAGTGATGTTAAGATCGAAATGCCGGTACGAAAATTTAGGAGAAAAACCTAGCAGTTATTTTTTAAATCTTGAATTCAGAAATTTTACAAATAAATTAATAACAAAACTGGTTATGGAAAATAATGAAGAAATAAGAAATACGAAAGATATACTAAATTTTCAAAAATATTATTACGAAAAATTATATACAGAAAATTCAAATATAGATGAAACTCCTATAAAAGACATTATAGGGGAAAATGAAAATAAGTTAAGTGAACTTGATTCTCAAATGTTAGAGGGCGAATTGACAATTGATGAGTTAAATATTGCTTTAAACAGCATGAAAAATGGTAAAAGTCCAGGTTTAGATGGCTTTACAGTTGAATTTTTTAAATTTTTCTGGAAGGATAGATCTCTCAATTTTTGTTTTAAAAACTCTTAACTTTGGCTACTTTAATGATAGTTTATCCGTCACTCAGAAACAAGGTGTTATAACGTGTCTGCCTAAACCGAATAAAAGTAGATTTTTTTATAAAGAATTGGCGCCCAATAACACTTTTAAATGTAATTTATAAAATGGCTTCTGCTGCTATAGCAAACAGACTGGAAAGGGTTTTAAACATTATTTGCCAAGATCAAAAAGGTTTTATCTCAGGAAGGTGTATTAGTGAAAATATCAGATTGATATATGATATTCTTTTTGAAACCAAACAAAACGATATACCAGGTCTTTTACTATCTATAGATTTTCAGCAAGCATTCGATTCAGTTTCTTGGAAATTTATTCAGAAAATTTTAGATTATTTTAATGTTGGTCCCTCTTTCAAAAAATGGATAAATCTATTCCAAAATGGGTCAGAAACCTGTATCATACAAAATGGTCATTTATCAGATTTCTTTAAAGTTAAGCGTGGCTGTAGACAGGGAGATCCAATTTCACCTTATATCTTTATCTTATGTGCGGAAGTTTTGGGTTCAATGATTAGGAAAAATAATAATATTACTGGAATATCGATTGATAATAAAGAATATAAGTTAAGTCAGTATGCAGATGACACACAGTTGTTTTTAGATGGAACTGAGAAATCATTACAACATTGCCTAAACACGCTTGATAAATTTTATGCTATTTCTGGTTTAAAGATAAATACCGAAAAAACAAGGGCATTTTGGAAAGGGGCAAGAAGAAATTCAAATACTAAATTATGTCAACAGCTTGATTTAGACTGGTCTAAATCTCCAATAAAAATATTAGGAGTAATATTTTCCGCAGACGTTGAGGACATTTGGGACTTAAACGGGCATGAAATTCTTAATAAATGTGAAAAATTAATTAATGTATGGTCTAAGCGTAATTTAACTCTTTTTGGAAGAGTCATAATTATAAAATCTTTGATTATTTCAAAATTTGTACATTTGTTTATGTCATTGCCAAATCCCTCAGAAGATTTCATTAAACAAATAGAAAGATTATTATATCGGTTTTTATGGAAAAAAGGTCCAGATAAAATTAAAAGATAAGTTATAGATAAAATAGAAGCAGGTGGTATTAAAATGGTAGCCTTTATGAACAGTTTAAAGTTAGGTTGGATTAAACGTCTATTGAAAGAAAATGGCGAATCTTGGGTTACCCTGTCTCGTTTAAATATAACCAAAGTAGTAAAACTTGGTCCTGGTTATGCATCAGTTATATCTGAAGAACTTTCAAATATTTTCTGGAAACAAGTGTTGAAAACATGGACTAACTTTTGCAAAAAAGTGAGCATTGAAAGTATCGAAGATATATTATATTCACCATTATGGTTTAACACTAGATTCCGTAACACTAATTTACATTTTAACAATTGGATACATCATAATATAATATCTATTATTGATTTATACGACAATGACGGCAATATTTACAGTATTCAAAAATTGAAAGATATATATAAGATAAGAGGTACATTTTTAGATATTCAACAAGTCATTGAGTCCATCCCTTTTTTATGGAGAGAAAAGATTAGGAACAGTAGAAATGAAGTATTTTTATACAAGCAAAACATTTCGTTAAATCCCTATCTTAAATGTGTTATACAAAATAGTAAAGGTTGCAGATTATTTTTTTATGATGTCCTTATTGACGCTGATAATCTAGTTGTTCCTAACAAATGGGTAAATTCTGTAGGACCTATATCACAGAAGGAGTTTTTAGATTATTGAACAAGTTTAAATACTGTGAAAGAGATAAAATTGAAAGATTTTCAGTATAAGATTAATCAAAAAATTCTTGTGACAAATACATTTTTACATCGAATAGATATTGGAGAAAATGATTTATGTTCATATTGTAACATTGATAGAGAAACGATTGAACATTTATTCTATCAATGCCCGTATACCAATACGTTTCTTTTAGAATTGAAAGACTGGCTTAGAGATAAGTGTTTTGTCGAATTTGATATTTCAGACATGAAAGGCATACTGTTCTCGTATTATGGAAAACATTCTATTTTGAATTTTGTAACATTATTAGCAAAATACTATGTTTATAAAACAAAATTTAGAGAAAATTGTCAAAATTACTTGAATATAAATATGTTTTTAATATACTTAAAAAGAAAATTAAAAAATCAAGAATATATAGCTTTTTTAAATGGAGATGTGATTTCTTTTAATAAATTGTGGCAAAATTTCATTCAAATATTATCCCTTGATGATGAGTAACTTTATATTTTATATCACAATACCGATAAGGAAATTATAACAACATAAAAGATTTTTAAAATATAATTAGACAACCTAAATAAGAAACATACATACAGGCCTCTATACGAACAACGTTGTATTCTTTTATTTGTATTTTTTGTTTGTTTTTTGTTGTTGTTGTTTTTTTCAATCGATGTGAATTTATATTAATATATTAATATATATCTTTTATCATATGCATTGTATAAGTAAGAAACAATACTTGAGTGTACTTGATTATATATATTATATCTACTAATCTTGTTGCATTATTATGTAGCATGTCATAATTTCATAGCCCATGAAGTCTTATAATTTATAATTTACATAATTATGTTGTCCTTGTCATATGTGTAAATATATACATGTATATATATTGTTTGTTAGAAAACTTGTAAGGTGAAATAGCGGATGGATCCCCGACCCTATTTTACCCATGACGGGGACAATAAACGAAGTTACCTGTTGGGCTTCAAAAAAAAATATTGTTTAAATAAGAGCCCTAGGGTCAAAATTGGCCCCGCCCCGGGGGTCATTGATTTTCCTTATATGTGTATAGCAAAAACTTAAAAAAATCTTCTTTGAAAAAACCCAAATAGATAGAGTTTAGATACTAAGCATGAAACATCTTCTGGTGAGTGTCTAAATAAAAGCACTGGGGTCAAAATTGGCTCCGCCCAAGGGGTCATTGATTTTATTTATGTGTATAGCAAAAACTTAAAAAGATTTTCTTTGCAAAAACTTAAAAAATCTTCTTTGAAAAAACCCAAATAGCTAGAGTTTAGATATTAAGTATGAAATATCTTCTAGTGAATGTCTACATAGTTTGTTCAAATAAAAGAGTTGGGGTCAAAATTGGCTCCGCCCTGGGGGTCATTGATTTTCCTTATATGTGTATAGCAAAAACATAAAATATTGTTTGAAAGAACCCAAATAGCTAGATCTAAGATATTTAGCATGAAACATGTTCTAATGGGTGTCTACCAAATTTGTTTAAATAAGAGCCCTGGGGTCAAACTTGGCCCCGCCCCGGTGGTCATTGATTTTCCTTATATGTGTATAGCAAAATCTTAAAAAATCTTCTTTGAAAAAACCCAAATAGCAAGAGTTTAGATACTAAGCATGAAACATCTTCTAGTGAGTGTGTACAAAGTTTGTTCAAATAAAAGCACTGAGGTCAAAATTGGCTCCGCCCTAGGGGTCATTGATTTTATTTAAGTGTATAGCAAAAACTTCAAAAATCTTCTTTGAAAAAACCCAAATAGCTAGAGTTTAGATATTAAGTATGAAATATCTTCTAGTGAATGTCTACAAAGTTTGTTCAAATAAAAGAGTTGGGGCAAAATTGGCTCTGGGGGTCATTAATTTTCCTTATATGTGTATAGCAAAAACTTAAAAAATCTTGTTTGAAAGAACCCAAATAGCTAGAGTTTAGATATTAAGCATGAAACATCTTCTAGTGAGTGTCTACAAAGTTTGTTCAAATAAAAGCCCTGGGGTCAAAACTGGCCCCGTCCCAGGGGTATCATTGCATTTAACTATATGTGTGTAGTAAAAACTTAAAAGATCTTCTTTTAAAAAACTCAACAAGCTAGACCTTAGATATTAAGTATGAAATATCTTCTAGTGAATGTCTACATTGTTTGTTCAAATAAAAGCCCTGGGGTTTAAACTGGCCCCGCTCTTGGGTCCTATATACAGGTGAGCGACTTCAGGGCCATCATGGCCCTCTTGTTACTTTTTGAACTTTGTCTGGGACATAACTCTAAAACTATAAGAGATATCAACATAAAACCTTGTAGGTTGATAGATCTCATGGTGTTAAAGTGCAATGCTAAAGAACCGTAACTCTTTCTTGCCTAATTTGGAGTTTATAATTGCCCTTTGTTCATTTTTTTTTCTGGGACATAACTCTAAAACTATAAGAGATATCAATATGAAACTTTGTAGGTAGATAGATCTCATTGTGTAGAAGTGCAGTGCTAAGGAACCATAATTCTGTGTTGCTTTGTTAATTTTTACACTTTGAACTTTGTCAGGGACATAACTCTAAAACTGTAAGAGCTATCGACATGAAACTTTGTAGGTAGATAGAGCTA